AGCAGGGAATCCCACCACTGCCCTTGACTCTCAGCAGGAGGGTATGTGACGTCTGCATTCTGGGTGCCCCTTAGAATGACCCATCCCTCATTCCTCCAAGGGGGGCAGCAGTTTCCCAGGAGGAAGAGAGAATGTGCCCCACACAGGTGATGGAGGGCTTGGTGCTGCCTCCACCTGGCTGCTGTGTCTCGGCTTAAACTCTGTGCCCGGAACATGTGTGCCTCTGAGACCTTCATCCTCCTGAAACCTGTTGGCCTTTCCCACTCCTGAAGGAAGACCCAAAATGCCTCACGGTCCTTTAGTGCCCTTGGCTATACCTCTTCCCCACACTCTTGCTTCTGGCCTCACTGGCAGCTGAAGGGCAGCTGGCCGTCAGAGGCAAAGCCACCAGGCTTTGGGCCCCCAAACCTGAAGTCTACAGCTGACATCTAGCTTCCTCACTAGGGCGGAAAAGGCCCCGAGACCTGACCCCGGTGGCCCCTCCTATCTCCCTAGGCTCATCACCCCTCTCCCTCTGCCTGTCACATGGACCTTCTCTCCATTCCCTACCCAAGCCACGCTTCCTGCCTCAGCACCTGTGCCCTGGCGTCCCATCTGCCTGGCACACTCTTCCTACGGCTCCTTCAGGGCCTCAGTTCAGAATTTACCTCCTTGGAAAGGATGCTCCTGACCGAGCACACGGTCATGCTCTGCATGGTGCCTACTTATTTCTTCAGAGCAAACCAGGGCGAGGACCAAGTCTGCTCTGTTCCCTGCTGTTCCTCAAGAGCCTGGAACAGTCCTGACCCGGAGTCAGTGCTCCACAGCCGTGGACGAAACGAATGGACAGGAAAGCTAAGGAATGGCTGGGGACAGAAGGATGGGTCATCTGCACAGAATGTGCCCAGCTCTCCAGTGGGCGATGAAATGATTGTAATAATAGCAGTTATTAGCCAGTTGTACCAACCAGCGATAATGGGGCTACAGCACTCAAAAGGGACACCACTCACTCTAACATCCAGAAAAACAGTAAACAATAATTTCATCTTTAATGAAGGATTTCAGAGGTCTGGCATTGCGGGTAGGGATAAATTGTGTGGCACACACACAAAATGTCCCAAAGATCTTTTGTATCCACTGAACTCTCCAAACTTCCTCTTATCCTGGAAGCTGTCCCGCCTTGCAAAACAATGTCTCTTCTCTCCCACAGACCTCTCTCTGGCAGCAGCCTTCCTCCTCCCTCCATCCTGACCTACTCTTCTCTTCTTCATCTTCTATTCCTGTGTCCATGCCCTGCTTTAAAAGCACTTGCTTACATCTCCTGCCTGGTACAGAGTAGGCACTAAATACATGACAGATGGAGAGAGAGGAGGGGAGAAATAAAGGAAGAAAAAAAGGAAAAGGAGAGAAAAACTGCAAATAAACTAGCATCACTGTTGAAAAGTTACTTTGCAACAGGTAAGTTGTCCGGTACCTGGGGACATGGATACAAGCAAGACTCTTTTAAAAACCTTTCTGAGACGCTTTGCTTTCTTTGGATCATAATTCTTAATAAACATCAATTAATGAAAGTTAAAATATGCATGTCTTCTGACCCAGTAATTCCACTGGTACAAAACTATCCCACTAACAAACACCCTTACAAGTTATGCGAAGGCATATTACAAAATTACTTACTGCAATACTTTATAAATATGAAAATTTGGAAAACATGCTGAATGTCCATAAAAGGGAGGTTAGTTAAATAAATTATACTCCGATGTTGTCCTGTGCAGGCATTAAAAAATATAAGCTGTAGTTAACATTATGCCTTTCAAAAAGTAAATGCTTAAGAGATATTTGTTCAGGGGAGGGTAGAGCTCAGTGGTAGATTGTGTCCTTAGCATGCACAAGGTCCTGGGTTCAATCCCCAGTACCTCCATTAAAAAATAAACAAACAAACAAACCAACCTAGCTACCCCTCCACCCTCCAAAAAAAGAGAAAAAAACAAGGATAAAATACTGGACTTAAAAAAAAGGAGAGCTCTTTGTTGATAATAATACTTAGTGCTGAAGCAGTTGCAGTGCATAAAGATCTAGCACATGTCTTTGGGAAAGCACTTTTTCACTGGGTATTCTCAAGCCATAAAAGCATTTATGTTGGCTTTATAATCTCACCATGGGAGATTTAGCCTAAAACATTGTTCAAGCAGGAGAGTTATGTGAATTAAGATCTTTATTGCAAAATTATGGGTAACAGCAAAGCATTAGAAACTGTGCACATGGCTCCAGTCAGAAGAGCTAAGTGCATCAACCCACGGGAATGCCAGGCCATGGTGAAACCTGCAAAATCCTGGGATGAGGTAACTCTCCGAGAACGGACATGGAAGGATGTCCACTACGTACTGTGATTTCAGATCTCAGCCCGTGTGTGTCACAGGGGCACGTGCGGTTGTGTGAGTTACGTGCCGCAGTCTGGAGTGATCTGTGACCACCACAGCAGCACACGGTCTGTGGCTGTTCATCTCCTCCCAGCGTGTCCTCCCGTCAGTTCTTTCCTTCCCTGGAGGATGCCCAACTTTCCCTGATAACCACCTGAGCGTCACAACCACCCTCCTTTGTCTACAGAGCCCTGATGCAGTAGCCTTTCAGCTGATAAACAAATGCAGGTGATTCCCTAGCGGGCCCTGTGAAGAGGCGCCCCTTCCTGGCTCCTTGCAGTTTGAGCATTTCTCTGCGAGTCTGAAATGGACCAGGGGATGGCCGTTTACAACAGCTCCTCCTGGGGCCAGATTCCTCCCTGCAGAGTGTGGCAGGCTGGTCACTTTCATGACAACGCTGTCTTTTCCCTTCTCTCCTCCCAGGTTCTGGGGCCTTGTCACAGATGCCAGATGATATGCATCGATCAGCAAACGGGGCAACGAAACCAAGATGTTTTCCAAAAGCTTTCTGAGAGGCAGGAGAGAAAGGTAAGCGTAATTGTGAAATACGACACCCCATTTTAAGATCCCGATGTGCGATCCACACCAGAACTAATCCTTAATAGTACTGAGTCATTTTTAGAAGTGGGAAACCATTCTAAGGCTGACGGGCTACCATCAAGGTTCAGACCTCGTCCACAGCACTGTCTCATTTTTCCTCTCCATTCATTTCCTCACTTTAAAGAATTCCATGTATTTTTGATACTTTCAAATCTTGTTGAAGAGATAAGGACTATAAATAAGAAATAAGTAAAGAAGTAAAGTAATTCTATTGTCTTGATCATTATTTTCTTTGCCACAGAAATCTCATGAAGAGTAAAAAAACTCCTTATGGTGAATAGGTTAATCGCATAGAAAGATTCAATAAATTTCACTGTACTAAGTGTGTCC